CTTTCAATTCTGTGGCCTGGAGGTACTTGGGAGGCTTCTGCGGCAGACTTGGTGAGAGAAAAGGATTGTGGGGACTGCCTCAAAGAAAACATCTCCCTCAAGAAGGGACAGAAGCCAAATGGAGAGCAGTCCTTGGAGAGATTCAGCCTTCTATATTTTTATTTTATGTTCTCATTCCCAGGCAAAATGGGAATCTTTGTATCCATCTTTGTATCTATTTATCACTTTTTCTATGTCTTCAAAATAGTCACTATCACTGCTTTTGTAACAGGGAAAAGTGGAGAAGGGTTGTGACCCCATTAGAAAGAAAAGGACCTGAGTTCAGGCTTTTACAAATCAGTCAAAAGATGTGATGGGGGGCAGAAGAGAGATGTAGCACTTGTGTATGAGGGTGCTATTAAAAACAGGAAAACAAGGTGTCAATGAAGAAAAAGGGAAGAATTGAAGTCAGAAATTGGAGAATGCAAAAGGTGAATGCATAAAGTGGGGGATTCCAGCTTATTAAAATTCCCTTAGACCCTTCAATCCTTGAGGTTTTATGGATAATGCACAGTTCAGGGAAATTTTGCTTCTGTCTTCCAGTATTCATATTCTATGGGGTAGAAATAAATGTACATATCTAAAGCTGTAGTCCAGGGCAGAGTGAGGATGCACCATGAAAGCAATGTCCACAAGGTAGATTCAGAAAATGGGAGAGAGAGAGATGAATTCTCATATCTTAGAAAGTCTCCCTGGGAGTTGTAATTTGACCTATAATATGAATAGTTAGGGATATAATAGGTGAAAGAGAGATGGGGAATGATAGGAAGAGCTTTCCAGGTAGTGACTACAGCATGATGAATGTAAAGAAGGTGCCTCGGAAAGAAGGTCGAGTGACTGTCTGGTGCATCTCATCCACCCATTCACTAACACCCATGCATCAGGCTCTCTTCTGTGCCAAAGCCTGCACTAATAACAGAAGAAATAAAGCAAATCTAGCTTAGTATTTGCACCAAGTCATTCCAGCATTGCTAAAACTAGGGTATGTGGAAGGGGTTAGAGCTACATTGCAAAGGGTCTTGAAAGCAAGAAACCTGAACTTTGTTTTACACTTTGTGATGACTATGTCCCTTCCCTGAAGTGAGGAATGCCATTATCAGATATGTGTTTTGAGAATATAATTGGCAAAAATACTAAGTGAAAGAGATTTTGTAAAACATTAGGGAGTATGGTAGTTCAGGGAGCAGGAGAAAGCCTAGCTTTATTAATTTTATAGAATCCAAAGAGCCAGTAACTAGTGTAGAAAATTAATCTTTATTGAATGGCTAGATATTCTAGCTTTAGTATTCCTCTTTTCAGGAGAATAGGCAAATGGGATGGCTTTTCCCACCTCACGTCATCATACTGTGCAATCTTGATGTCCACTGGTACACCTCTAGGGAGACCAGAAACAAATTCTGGGTTAATATACTATCAAGTCCATGGTAAGCCTGAACTTAAATGGCTCAGGCATGGTCAATGAGATAGAGAAACTGAGCAGGGGATGTAATTAACAGTGAATCTGCCAGGTATGATGATGAGAGCAGAGTGAGGGAACTTCAGGGGTTCTCTGAGTGGCAAGGCTATGTCAATTCCCATATTAGCCTTATACATATCCCTGGAATACACTGCCCTTCCTCTGTAGCTGTGGCCAAAATTGCTGATTTAAAAATCTGTAGCTTTAACAAAAGATCTACCCTCTTAGCAAATTTCAAAGTATACAGTACATTAATGTTAATGTTAATTATAAACACTAGAGTATACAGCAGAACTCCAGAACTTATTCATTTTTCAGTATAACTGAGACTTTCTATCCTTTGGCTAACTCTGGCAACTACCCTAAAAAGGTAGATCTTATATGAAATGTTCTTATCACAAAAATTTCTTTTCCTTTTTCTTTCATATTTTTATTGGTGTCTTATAACTATACATTATGGTGGGGTTCATTATTACATATTCATGTACACAATATTGCAATATAATTTGACCAATATTGTTCCTCAGTATTTCTTACACAAAAATTAATAATAAAAAAAGAGTAAGAGGAAGTTTTGCAGGTGATGGATAAATTTATGGGATGGATTGTGGTAATTATTTCACAGGTGTGGACTTATCCCCAAACTCAAGTTGTGTTCATTAAATATGCACAGCTTTTA